TGTACCTTGCCCACTTCCTTTCCGTATCATCCCTGTACCAACTCTCTACCATCCCTGTCCAGTCTCTGTACCCTCTCAACACCTTCTGTGTACCCTCCCTGCCCGTACTCTTCTCTGTACCATCACTGTACTCTTCGTGTACCTCCCTGCTACTCTCCCCCACCACTACCTGGGTTAACCATCCCCGGAGAACACACTGATCTAACCCCTCCCACTCTAACGTTAATAAAATTAACCACTTCCCACTAACTCACTTCCGTTTAAGGTGGCCACACGGTGAAGCGCTCAACGAGGAGCTCAACGAAGATAATTGAACCAATACACAGTTTTCTTGCTAACTTTAGCTGAAAGAAAAAAAAAACTAAATTCTCAAAGTAGGAAGAATGGCTGTATAATTCTCAAACTTCCGAGGCGATTCTGAGAAGCATTTGGGCAAGGCTCGATACAAGGTACTGTTCCTTGATAATGTGAGAAATCACGAAAGCGATTGGAATCTCACTATTTTTTTCACAATGGTTGTTCTGCATATTGTGATATCGCCTGTTTACTGTGATCTTATTGCATATATATCCGGGGATCGAACCCGTGTTGATTTAGTCCGGCTCGTGGGAAGAGCGAAAATTCACGACGCTCTAAACCACTGGACCATACAATCCTACAGACATGAGCCTAGCGAGCTAGGTTTGCTTCATGTTGTGAGGTTTTAGCCCGCCATGAGGCGGGATAAAACAACACTGGTTCGATCCCCCGGCTAGCCACAGATTGATTAAATACCATTTGTTCGAGGTTACAATAATATATATATATATATATATATATATATATATATATATATATATATATATATATATATATATATATATATATATATATATATATATATATTCAACAAGTCTACCGTCTCCCACCGAGGCAGGGTGACCCAAAATGGAAAGAAAATCCCCAAAAAGAAAATACTTTCAGCATTCAACACTTTCACCACACTCACACATCACTGCTTTTGCAGAGGTGCTCAGAATACAACAGTTTAGAAGCATATACGTATAAAGATACACAACATATCCCTCCAAACTGCCAATATCCCAAACCCCTCCTTTAAAGTGCAGGCATTGTACTTCCCATTTTCAGGACTCAAGTCCGACTATATAAAAATAACCGGTTTTCCTGATTCCCTTCACTAAATATTACCCTGCTCACACTCCAACAGATCGTCAGGTCCCAAATACCGTTCGTCTCCATTCACTCCTATCGAACACGCTCATGCACGCCTGCTGGAAGTCCAAGCCCCTTGCCCACAAAACCTCCCTTACCCCTTCCTTCCAACCTTTTCGAGTACGACCCCTATCTCGCCTTCCTTCTCCTACAGATTTAAATGCTCTCCATGTCATTCTACTTTGATCCATTCTCTCTAAATAACCAAACCACCTCAACAACCCCTCTTCTGCCCTCTGATTAATACTTTTATTAACTCCACACTTTCTCCTAATTTCCACACTCCGAATTTTCTGCATAATATTTACACCGCACATTGCCCTTAGACAGGACATCTCCATTGCCTCCAACCGCCTCCTCGCTGCTGCATTTACCACCCAAGCTTCACATCCATATAAGAGTGTTGGTACTACTATACTTTCATACATTCCCTTCTTTGCCTCCATAGATAACGTTTTTTTGGGACTCCACATATACCTCAACGCACCACTCACCTTTTTCCCCTCATCAATTCTATGATTAACCTCATCCTTCATAAATCCATCCGCCGACACGTCAACTCCCAAGTATCTGAAAACATTCACTTCTTCCATACTCCTCCTCCCCAATTTGACATCCAATTTTTCTTTATCTAAATCATTTGATACCCTCATCACCTTACTCTTTTCTATGTTCACTTTCAACTTTCTACCTTTACACACATTCCCAAACTCATCCACTAACCTCTGCAATTTTTCTTTAGAATCTCCCATAAGCACAGTATCATCAGCAAAAAGTAACTGTGTCAATTCCCATTTTGAATTTGATTCCCCATAATTTAATCCCACCCCTCTCCCGAACACCCTAGCATTTACTTCTTTTACAACCCCATCTATAAATATATTAAACAACCATGGTGACATTACACATCCCTAAGACCTACTTTTACCGGGGAGTAGTCTCCCTCTCTTCTACACACCCTAACCTGAGCCTCACTATCCTCATAAAAGCTCTTTACAGCATTTAGTAACTTACCACCTATTCCATATACTTGCAACATCTTCCACATTGCTCCTCTATCCACTCTATCATATGCCTTTTCTAAATCCATAAATGCAATAAAAACTTCCCTACCTTTATCTAAATACTGTTCACATATATGCTTCAATGTAAACACTTGATCTACACATCCCCTACCCACTCTGAAGCCTCCTTGCTCATCCGCAATCCTACATTCTGTCTTACCTCTAATTCTTTCAATTATGACCCTACCGTACACTTTTCCTGGTATACTCAGCAAACTTATTCCTCTATAATTTTTACAATCTCTTTTGTCCCCCTTCACTTTATATAAAGGGACTATACATGCTCTCTGCCAATCCCTAGGTACCTTCCCCTCTTTCATACATTTATTAAACAAAAGTACCAACCACTCCAACACTATATCCCCCCCTGCTTTTAACATTTCTGTCATGATCCCATCAGTTCCAGCTGCTTTACCCGCTTTCATTCTACGTAATGCCTCACGTACCTCCCCCACACTTACATTCTGCTCTTCTTCACTCCTAAAAGATGGTATACCTCCCTGACCAGTGCATGAAATTACCGCCTCCCTTTCTTCCTCAACATTTAAAAAATCCTCAAAATATTCTCGCCATCTACCTAATACCTCCCTCTCCCCATCTACTAACTCCCCTACTCTGTTTTTAACTGACAAATCCATACGTTCCCTAGGCTTTCTTAACTTGTTTAACTCACTCCAAATTTTTTTTCTTATTTTCCTTAAAATTTCTTGACAGTGCCTCTCCCACTCTATCATTGGCTCTCCTTTTGCACTCTCTCACCACTCTCTTCACCTTTCTTTTACTCTCCATATACTCTGCTCTTCTTATAACACTTCTGCTTTGTAAAAACCTCTCAAAAGCTAACTTTTTCTCTTTTATCACACCCTTTACTTCATCATTCCACCAATCACTCCTCTTTCCTCCTGCACCCACCCTCCTAAAACCACAAACTTCTGCCCCACATTCTAATACTGCATTTTTAAAACTATTCCAACCCTCTTCAACCCCCCCACTAATCTTTGCACTAGCCCACCTTTCTGCCAATAGTCGCTTATATCTCACCCGAACTTCCTCCTCCCTTAGTTTATACACTTTCACTTCCCTCCTACTTCTTGTTGCCACCTTCCTCTTGTCCCATCTACCTCTTACTCTAACTGTAGCTACAACTAAATAATGATCCGATATATCAGTTGCCCCTCTATAAACATGCACAGCCTGGAGCCTACCCATCAACTTATCCACCAATACATAATCTAACAAACTACTTTCATTACGTGCTACATCATACCTTGTATATTTATTTATCCTCTTTTTCATAAAATATGTATTACTTATTACCAAATCTCTTTCTACACATAGCTCAATTAAAGGCTTCCCATTTACATTTACCCCTGGCACCCCAAATTTACCTACTACTCCCTCCACAACATTTTTACCCACTTTAGCATTGAAATACCCAACCACAAGTACTCTCATACTTGGTTCAAAACTCCCCACATATTCACTCTTCTCCAGGTGTATATACGCTTACTATAACCCACTTTTCACATCCAATCTTTATTTTACTCCACATAATCCTTGAATTTATACATTTGTAGTCCCTCTTTTCCTGCCATAGCTTATCCTTCAACATTATTGCTACTTCTTCTTTAGCTCTAACTCTATTTGAAACCCCTGACCTAATCCCATTTATTCCTCTCCATTGAAACTCACCCACCCCCTTCAGCTTTGTTTCACTTAAAGCCAGGACATCCAGTTTCTTCTCATTCATAACATCCACAATCATCTCTTTCTTATTATTTGCACAACATCCACGCACATTCGAACTTCCCACTTTGACAATTTTTCTTCTTATTATTCTTTTTAGTAATCTTTACAGGAAAAGGGTTACTAGCCCATTGTTCCCAGCATTTCGTTGACTTTTTACACACGCATGGCTTACGGGAAAGATTCTATTCCCACTTCCCCATGGATTATAAAGGATAATAATATTAACCAAGAACGTTAAGTAAAATCAAAGCAAACTCAGATGAGTTGTATAAATAAAGTGTTACGAGTAAATGTTTTCGATGTGACTAAGTGTAAGTAGAGTAGCAAGACATACCTGTAATCTTCTATTTATGAGACAGACAAAAGACACCATGCAATCCTACATCATTGTAAACAATTACAGCTATTTGATTTACACTCACTTGCAGACGGTAGTACCTCCCTGGGTGGTTGCTGTCTACCAACCTATCTACTGTAATGTAATATTAAATATATTATTAATATTGCAGCATGCATGCAATAAGATCACAGTAAACAGATGATTTTATAAATATCAAAACAACCACTGTGAAAGAGCTATGAAATTCCAAACGCTTTCGTGACTAACTCAATGTCAAGGAGCTACAAGTTCTTGACAATGTGAGTATCACGAAAGCTTTGGAATTTCACTACTCTTTCAAAGTGGTTGTTTTGCTTAATATATAATATATGTGGTTGTGATTGTGATGTGTTTAGTGGTGTGTGTGTTGTGTGTGTGTTTGTGTGTGTGTGGTTGTGTGGTGTGTGTGTGTGTGTGTGTGTGCGCGCGCGCGCGCCGCGCGCGGGCAACGAAAGAGAGAATAAAAGGGGTTAGACTTGAAAGAAGTAGAATAGTAAGAAAGTAGCTGTTGCCTCTTTCCCTTGCTTTCCATGCCAGGTAAACAACAGGTGGACACTAACGACAGGTTCTCTCCTTCCCCCCCCCCCTCGCTGCAGGTGTCGTGGATCCGTCACAGGGACATTCACCTACTGACGGTGGGCAAGTACACCTACACTTCAGACCAGAGGTTCAGAGCCTTGCACGAGGATGATTCTGATGACTGGGTTCTCAAGATCAACTATGTCCAGGTGAGCACTTCCCTTAACTCTACTATTGTCACTACTACTACTACTACTACTACTACTGTTACTTCTGATGTTACAACTAATGCTGTTACAATAGTATTACAAATTTTACCACTATTACATCTGCTATTGTTTTTACTATTAGTTTTACTACCAGTACTATCAAAACTATTTCTATTACTTCGATTCCTATTACTGATAAAGCTGTTACTACTACTACTACTCAAAATCCTAAAATTACTAGTATTACCACTGCTATTACTGCACTTCTACTTGTGCTACTTTTTATAAAATTATTATTGGAAAGTATTAAAGATGATATACAGCTCCTGGGGCATCTAAGGAGCTTTTATATCTGTCAGATCTTCAGCATCTTCGATAAATCTGCTCTACTGCCTTGTGATAGATCTTAACATTTTGATTTCTACGTCACTTGAAGGAGGATTCTCTGGCCAAGAATAAGACTGGATATTACATCGGTTTTAAAGAAGACATAGAATTCATCGCGAAATGACCAGAATGCTGGTTTCGCGTCATTGTTCCGCAGCAAGACATTCGCGGAGTCTGTAAGCGCGTTTTGTTCCCCTCAGTGGCTTGTCTCGTCTCAAATGTAACATGAGGAGACGATTGAAAAGTTCTTGACAAGTGTCTCAGCGCTACGGACACTTGTGCATGAGAATGGTCTCACACACACACACACACACACACACACACACACACACAACACCCCACACAACACAACCAAAATACAACAAAATACATACACACATTACTAAAGAAACAAATTCTACAACAAACAAGAGAAGCGACCTCTAGACAAATGTCAAAGTGAATGTGAGGGCAAAGATAAAATGTATGTAAGAAGGAAACCGGGGAAGTGCCACAATGTGAAAGTATGTGGGGAAGTACTATAATGTGAGAGTATGTGGGGAAGTGCCACAATGTGAGTATGTGGGGATGTACCACAATGAGTGTATGTGGGGAAGTGCCACAATGTGAGTATGTGGGGAAGTACCACAATGTGAATGTATGTGGGGAAGTACCACAATGTGAGTATGTGGGGAAGTACCACAATGTGAGTATGTGGGGAAGTACCACAATGTGAGTATGTGGGGAAGTACCACAATGTGAGAGTATGTGGGGAAGTACCACATGTGAGAGTATGTGGGGAAGTACCACAATGTGAGAGTATGTGGGGAAGTACCACAATGTGAGAGTATGTGGGGAAGTACCACAATGTGAGAGTATGTGGGGAAGTACCACAATGTGAGTGTATGTGGGGAAGTACCACAATGTGAAAGTATGTGGGGAAGTACCACAATGTGAGAGTATGTGGGGAAGTACCACAATGTGAGAGTATGTGGGGAAGTACCACAATGTGAGAGTATGTGGGGAAGTACCACAATGTGAGAGTATGTGGGGAAGTACCACAATGTGAGAGTATGTGGGAAGTACCACAATGTGGAAGTATGTGGGGAAGTACCACAATGTGAGAGTATGTGGGAAGTACCACAATGTGAGAGTATGTGGGGAAGTACCACAATGTGAGAGTATGTGGGGAAGTACCACAATGTGAGTATGTGGGGAAGTACCACAATGTGAGAGTATGTGGGGAAGTACCACAATGTGAGAGTATGTGGGGAAGTACCACAATGTGAGAGTATGTGGGGAAGTACCACAATGTGAGAGTATGTGGGGAGTACCACAATGTGAGAGTATGTGGGGAAGTACCACAATGTGAGAGTATGTGGGGAAGTACCACAATGTGAGAGTATGTGGGGAAGTACCACAATGTGAGAGTATGTGGGGAAGTACCACAATGTGAGAGTATGTGGGGATGTACCACAATGTGAGAGTATGTGGGGGATGTACCACAATGTGAGAGTATGTGGGGATGTACCACAATGTGAGAGTATGTGGGGAAGTACCACAATGTGAGGTATGTGGGGATGTACCACAATGTGAGAGTATGTGGGGATGTACCACAATGTGAGAGTATGTGGGGATGTACCACAATGTGAGAGTATGTGGGGATGTACCACAATGTGAGAGTATGTGGGGAAGTACCACAATGTGAGAGTATGTGGGGAAGTACCACAATGTGAGAGTATGTGGGGATGTACCACAATGTGAGAGTATGTGGGGATGTACCACAATGTGAGAGTATGTGGGGAAGTACCACAATGTGAGAGTATGTGGGGAAGTACCACAATGTGAGAGTATGTGGGGAAGTACCACAATGTGAGAGTATGTGGGGAAGTACCACAATGTGAGAGTATGTGGGGAAGTACCACAATGTGAGAGTATGTGGGGAAGTACCACAATGTGAGAGTGTAACAGGTTGATTTTCACAAGAATCATTTGAAGACTGAGACACATGTGCAACATTTAGAAATCCTATTGAGGAAACGTTTCGCCAGCCAGTGATTTCTTCAGTCCAGTACAAAGAAAAACAGTGAAAGATGATGGACTGAACACAGACTCCAGGCTGGAGGGACTGATTACCTCATTCTCATCTTCCGCCGTTCCTCTCAGTATTGGACTGAAGAAGCCACTGACTGGCAAAACGTTTCCTCAATAAAGATACCCAAGTGTTGTATATGTGTCTATTTATTATTCCAGTGAGTCTTGGACAGATTGCCGAGATGATCACACACGTGGATCCTGCTGCTAGCCTCAAAAAAGTCCAATATCATGCAGTGTAGAGGTGAAGGGAGATCAGAAATGATGTACAGCCAGAGATGAAACCCACAAACGTTAAACCTGTAACCAGAGGAGGAAATAAACAGCTCGACTTGGGAAGCACACGCGAGGCTGGTGAATCTCAACAATCAACAACAACAACTTGTATAAGGAATCCCAATGGCTTCTGTATGGAGCTTTTTCTTGATCATATATATATTTGGCACGACATATATATGTCGTGCCGAATAGGTAAAAAATTGGTCAATTAGCAAGAACTCGTTTAAAATTAAGTCCTTTCTATAATTTTCTCTTATATGCCTGAAGATATATTTTTTCATATATGTTAATGTAAAACTTAATAATTTGATACCAAAAGAACCTTAGAAAACTTACCTAACCTTATTATAACAAGCGCAATTTAACTTAGCCTAATCCAACTAAATATATTTTAGATAAGTTTACAATAATTTAATAATAAACACAACAAAATATGTTCTTTTCGTTAGGTTCAGAATGATTTTTGCTTAATTATTGGAGGCAAAGAGGGGAATGTATGAGAGTATAGTTTTACCAACGCTCTTATATGGGTGTGAAGCGTGGGTGATGAATGTTGCAGCGAGGAGAAGGCTGGAGGCAGTGGAGATGTCATGTCTGAGGGCAATGTGTGGTGTGAATATAATGCAGAGAATTCGTAGTTTGGAAGTTAGGAGGAGGTGCGGGATTACCAAAACTGTTGTCCAGAGGACTGAGGAAGGGTTGTTGAGGTGGTTCGGACATGTAGAGAGAATGGAGCGAAACAGTGTGACTTCAAGAGTGTATCAGTCTGTAGTGGAAGGAAGGGGGTAGGGGTCGGCCTAGGAAAGGTTGGAGGTAGGGGTAAAGGAGGTTTTGTGTGCGAGGGGCTTGGACTTCCAGCAGGCATGCGTGAGCGTGTTTGATAGGAGTGAATGGAGACAAATGGTTTTTAATACTTGACGTGCTGTTGGAGTGTGAGCAAAGAACATTTATGAAGGGGTTCAGGGAAACCTGCAGGCCGGACTTGAGTCCTGGAGATGGGAAGTACAGTGCCTGCACTCTGAAGGAGGGGTGTTAATGTTGCAGTTTAAAAACTGTAGTGTAAAGCAACCTTCTGGCAAGACAGTGATGGAGTGAATGATGGCGAAAGTTTTTCTTTTTCGGGCCACCCTGCCTTGGTGGGAATCGGCCAGTGTGATAATAATAAAAAAATAACAACAAATTTTCGCTTGTCTTATTCGGCCAGAAAAGCGTTGTTATTTAAGCCAAAATAGCAAGTTTTACCTATTCGGCACGATATATATAATATATAATATATATAATATATATATATATATATATATATATATATATATATATATATATATATGTCGTGCCGAATAGGCAGAACTTGCCATCTTGGCTTAAATAGCAACGCTCATCTTGCCATATAGGGCAAGTGAAAATTTGTGTATGCAATAATTTCGCCAAAATCATTCTGAACCTAACGAAAAAAATATATTTCACTGTGTTTGTTTAGTATTAAATTATTGTAAACAAATCTAAAATATATTTAGTTGGGTTAGGCTAAAATAAATTATTCTTGTTATAATAAGGTTAGGTAAGTTTTCTAAGTTCCTTTTGGTGCAAAATTATAAATTTTTACGTCAACATTAATGAAAAAAATATATCTTTAAACGTATAAGAGAAAATTTTAATTTTAAATGAGTTCTTGCTAATTGACCAGTTTTACATATTCGGCACGACATATATATACATCCCCCCTGAAAAAAGAATTTCATAGTTCACGTTATTCAATTTTGGACGATCTTTTTCAATTGCTTTTCCCCAAAAAATTTCACTCTGGACGACAGGTTTATGAGAGAGTTGACTATATACACACAGGAAATGTTTTAATCAGTCCTCGTATGTCTTCCATAACTCTCCTTCAACTTTTCTCTATCCAGATATTCTATATTTTGCCTGGTTTAAGAGATATATCTATATTATACGATGCATGTCAGGCGTGGTTGTACTTTATATTTATATGGGTTACAGGTCTATAATTTATTTCGGGTTTATAATTCAGCATCATCGTTGCAGATTTAAGGTTGTTGTATATATAATTTTACCTCTGCTTTAAGGGTTTATCTTAGTTATTTTCCTGAGGTTAGAAGTTTTTTTCTTGAATTTAGTTTATTATTTTTCTTATTTTTTTTTTTTAGATAATCTTTGGATTAGAGATTTTTTTCTTTTATAATTTTCTATTTTTTTTTTTTTTTGGAGGGTTATCACTAATTATTTTCTGGTTTGAAAATATTTTC